AAAAAAAAATAAAATAAACTTTATTTTTTATGAATAAGGCCTAATATGTAATATGCAAAAAATGTTATGAAATGAAATCCCAAAATTAATAAAAAAAATGAAACAAAAAATAATAATTTCTTAAAACTAAATGAAATTCAAAGATATATATACAGATATGTATACAGTTTTCTTAACTATAAAAATTAAGAATTAAAATAAAATTTAACAAAAAAAAATAAATAAATGAGGTCATAAAAATTGAAAATAATATATAATCTAAAAATTAAATAAAAAAATTAAAAAAGTTTCTAAAACTAAATGGAATTAAGAAAAAAATCTTTTTAAAACAATTTAAAATCAAAGGCAAATTAAATTATAAACAGAAAAAAGGTTGAAAAATAAGTTTCTAAACATTAAATGAAATTAAGTATTATTTTTTAAACAAGAAAACCTAAAAAGTTAAAATAAAATTAAATAAAAAATTATATAAATTCCACAAATTCAAACAAAATCTAAAAGTTAGATAATAAAATTAAATTAAAAAAATATTTCTCTTTTTAAAACAATAAAATCTAAAAATTTAAAGAAAAATAAATAAGTTAAATTAAAAAATACATAAAATAAGTTTCTAAAACTTCAAAGAAATTAAAAAACTAAAGTGAAAGAAAATTAGCTGAAAAAAAGGAAAGTAAGTATATTCAGAAAAAAGAAATTCCGCTGTCCGATGATTCGAACCTTGGACCTCTGTTGGCGCGAGCTAAATGATATACACCTTCATTTGGAATATGCTCACGTGCTTTCTGTCAAAACATTTTTTCGCCCATGAAAGTTGGCAAGGGAGCTTTTTTTCTGTAAGACTTGAAATATTTCTCTAAATATAAACATAAGAAATTTATCATAATTACATAGTGAAATATCGCAGAATTTGCATCTTTCGAAAATGCCGTTATATGGGATTCAGAAAGTAGCAAAGAGATTTTGAGTGGGGCTAACATCAATTCGTGCTCTTAGTTAAGGTAAAATCGATTAAGCGGTCACTGAGATACCTTAATTTCATTATAAGTGCCCTTGTCCACGCCCACTTGTTATTAAAAACAAAATGTTTTTATTGTCTTTTTTCAAAAACTACCGTTATATAAAACGTAGGCGTATTTTTAATCCGATTAAGGCTTTTTCGTTACCAATCTAGATCAAGACAAAGAGTAATAAGCGTACCGAGTTTATCATTACGTTTTAGAGAAAACAATTTTTTACCGTTGCTCCAAACAAGTGGAACCACTGTGCATATGACGAATATTTGAATCTATTTCTAACGCGTTACCCTGTAGCTGCACTTGATTTTATTCGCTCAATGTTGAAATATATTTGCCGAACCGGTTTTTTTTTGAAATTAAAAATTAACTTTCAGTTGCATTTCGCTTATCTGCACTTTGGCATCTATCATTGCATTTGATGTAATAAAATTATGACGTTCGCCGGAGAGTGCTTTTTTATGACTAAAAACTTTAAGTTGCTAAAGGCATCAATTAAATAAAGGAAGAGTTAAGTGGAAAAAATTAATACATCTCTGTACATATGTACATACGTATGCACATACCTATGTAGCTACACAATCGTCCACACCGCTTCCTACAACAACTTTGTTAGCATCAAATATTTAGTCTGTTCGAATAGATCTCCAGTGAAAAATGTCCAGCAGCAACTTGCAGGAGAGTAACGAACGATTCTCTCTAAACTTGCAAGTTATCCCAAGAAGTACGCTAACGCAAAATTATCAAAAACTTGCAACTTTTTAGTACAGCTGATCGAAATTTTGTTTACATACAAATGCATGAAACTGAAAACACGAAAATAATATAAATTTAAGGTTTGCCTAAAGTTATTTCCTAAGAAAACGTAGGTAAATGAGTACATATTTGGTTTATTCCGAGACATTTGCTAGACGTGCAAGTTAATTTAAACTGAAAAATCATCAAAATAAATTTCATAATTTTCATAAATTGCAAACAAATGTTTTTGATCAGCTGTTTTTTCTTGCTGGCCAATTGCTGCTGGTAAAAATATTTGCAGCAGGAATTGGCAACATCCCCTCCAAATCAACTGTCACTTTGCGCTCTCAATTTCCTCTACTTTGCAAGGTTTTTGCGTACGCGAACGCCAAAACCTGATAATTTGCGATAATTTGCAATAATTATCTGCTTGTCGAACAGACTAATTGTCAACCTAATATTTTAAACATTTCGATATTTTATTTATTAATTATGCGCACAAACAATAATATGCACAATTAATAATGTGACACCAAGTTGAACTGGAATTATTGTTATCATTTGGAATTCAACCCAACACCAGGTCTAGTTAATTGAATACAACAGCAACAACTCAACGTAATAAAAGATACGATGACTTCTAAAATGAGCTACTGCAAAGTCTCGATGCGGTTTGACTACAGCATGCATTTATACAGCAGCGTTGTCAGGCCTGTCAACTTGGCTAAAATTCTGCCGTTTTTCACTTAAAATCACACTTTTGAAAAAAATATAATATTTCAAAACATTTTTGTGAAATATGGCACCTCGCAGCTAAGGATATTTGGCAGCCCTGCTGACAACCTCGCTTAAACTCAACTAACCTATATTTAACCATTGTAAATATAGAAGCAGACTCCCCTAGAATATATTCAACTCGGCTTTGAAATCGGTTGGATTCAGACCGTTCACAAATTCAGTGGGAGCGTTCACTTTGGCTGGCTGTTTAAAAAATACTACGTAACTTAGCGTTATCAAAATTTATAACTTAAGTGTTTTAAATACGGTATTATAGATTACTGTAACTATTTTTAGATGTGTAAACAATCAGCTCTCGGTATGGGTTAAATTTTTGTTAAGCCAGAAGAAAATTTGTAATTGCTTCTAGTGTGTACAAATGAACATTTCTGAACTAGCTAAGGCTATTTCAGGACCATTTTGTCTCTAATTCACGACTAGTGTAGTACCATTCAGGACTAATTCAGGATTAGTTCGAGATCATTTCGGAATTAATTTTGGACCATTTGATCCCGTTTCGGTAATAGTTCGGGATAATTTTGGGATAGTTTGAAACTAGTCTCGGAATAAACCAAATATGACATGACTATCTTACTTAGTAGTACTAAACTCCTGCATCGAAACATCCACACAAATACTGGGGTGTCCCTCACTCCAAGAACAAAAAACTAAATTGATCTCCTGCGTTTCATGCGAAGGGTCAACAGCGGCTGGGATTACTTCCCTGTTGAAACTAGCACCTTGTCGTTGTCCCAGTAATTACCATTCTCTAATTAGAGTCTGCATGCAAAAAGATCCAAGACCGAGAAGTCCTTGGGCCAGGCAGCATTACTAACAAGACTTTGAAAGCTGCAATAAAACTACGGCTAGATTAATTTGTAAAAGTCTT